GCAAAACACTAGGAAATTGGAAAGGTTGCAAACATGTTTTCACACCACTATATAGTAATAAATACATGATTTGGTTGATTAGACTAGAATTAGAACATGTTCTGGGTTTTTCCAAGGGTAGCTCTGGTAAGCTGTTATAGGCAGGGATCACACTCACTATTTACTGATGCACATCCAGTTATTTTGGTCTGAAAAACAAATCAGTCAATGTCCAAAGAAAAACTTTGAAAGACCTTCAGAAAACCTGGAACCTGGCTCCTTGGAAACAAAATATGAAGAGATGTGGTCTGAATCAATACTTTTGCACATTACTGTAGATGGAAAAGATACCTCACAACATGTGACTGAACATTATGCTGTTACGAATCTTGATTGGCAGCAACATGGTTAAATTATTATCATTCTCACATTTTAATCAGCTTCTAATGTGGTCTAATATAACCTGAAAACTGCATTTCCCTCTGAGTAGAATTACAAGTTATCATTGATTTATTGCTGGTCTGTTTCTAAAGCTTGCTTTTCCCAGAGTGCTCATTAGCTATGAGGGCACAGGTAGTACGTTGTTATGGCACAGTAATATGTGGTATGATATATAAAAAAACCTCAAGTAAAAAAAACAACAACAACCGTACACCATTCATTCAATTTCTATTGTGAGAATTTCAGCTTGGAAAATTATGCTAGACAGATTTTAGCACTCGCTTGCTAAACCGCATACCTGTAAGCAAACAAAAAGCATGCACACACACAATGACATGCAACATCTACACCTCCCACTGTTCACTAGCACTACATCAAGGAAATATAAATGTTTTTATGAGCCAAAATCCCCAAATCCCAGTGTTAATTAATGTAATCTGGAAAAGAAAAAAAAAAGACTTTCATTTGCCAATAAAAGACAAGCAGCTCCACAAAGTGTTGTTTCTTTAAATGTTGTCTACTAAGAGCTGATTAAATTAACTGCAAGTTTAAAGGAAAGATCCAATCTTGATAATAATTGTTACATTTTTTCCCCTTTTTCGTTGAGGACAGGAGACAAAAGAAAACACTTTCTGAAAAAGATGAAATACACTCAGATGATGTTCTGACTGCAAGATGGAATGGGATGATTCATTCCTCTGTAAAACTACACTCCTACTGGACAAACTCAAGAGCATGACTGCCTGTGAGACAACGCTCCAAGCACAGAGATGAATGTGTTTGTGTGTTTCCTTGTGAAAGGAGACTTGGTTCCTTTTTTGCAAACTAGCTGGCTTACCTTTTATGAGTCAGTCTCACTGACTTTATGTTGCTCCAGATTTTTATTATAGTGTGTGAACATTTCTAGAGGGATACTGTGGAACTGTGTCTCCTAAAGAAATACACTCAAACATTACTAAGTCAATTAACTGATTTAATGAAGTGCTACCCTTTCAAGTCGCAGTAGAGTATGTACTACTTGGATGCTAGGTGTATTAAATAGCAGAACTCCAAGACCACAGTCCCTGGAACTACCTCTGAAAGTCAGCTTGAAAAGGAAAAAACTCAAGTTGGGAAATTTTTTTTTTTTGAAGTTTTTGTTAAAATCATGGACAATTTTGGTTTTGTTCATCAACAATACTCTTCCTCAAGTGACCCAATGTTTTTTACTACCAAACTTCTTATCTAATTCAGGGGTGCAAAAAGTCAATCACAGGGTGAGCAGCACACCCAGCAGTTTATCAGTCAGATGCAAGTCTAACATACAGAGACAGACAGTCATTAACCTCAATGATCAATTTAGAATCACCAATTAATATAATCCTATGAATGTCTTTGGACTGTTGGAGTAACCGGAGAAAACTCAACCATCATCTGAGGAAGTTGGGACCATAGTCACCAAGAACACCCGTGATAACACGCTACTCCAAAATAGATTGAAATCTTGCAGCATCTGCAAGGTCCCTCTCCTTAATAAGGCATGTATATAGGCCCATTTTAAGTTTTCTAGTGAACATCTAAATGAATCAGAGAACACTTGGGAGAAAGTCAGATCAAACGCAAATTAAATCTCTATGGCATAAGCTCAACCTGCAGTATTTGGAGGAAGAAAAATGCTGAGCATGACCCAAAGAACAGTATCTTCACAGTTAAGCACAGAGGTGGAAACATTATGCTTTGGGGCTGTTTTTCTGCCAGGCCAATGGACAGGACTGTAAAATCTTGGACGAGAACCTCCTTTCCTCAGTCAGAACACTGCAGATTTGTCCTGGATGGGTCTCCTAGACTATCTCCAAAAGTTGATTCTGTTCATCTGGATGTAGCGTTTTGTGGGAGAAACGTTTCGTCACTCATCCAAGTGACTTCTTCAGTCTCAGCTGACTGCAGGTTTCCAATCTTATAAACAGTACATTTGCATAATGACTGAAACCAGCCCACTGAAGGAACAATGGGAGGTCAGTTCCTTAATCTTAATTATGCAAATTCTCATTACCATTGATCAACAACCACTGACCAAAACCCACTGATCAAAGTCCACTGATCAATGGCCATGAGTACCATTCACAGAGAGTTGGGGAATGGCTGCAATCACAGCATTGTAAGATGGCGAAAGATGTACCCTTTGGCCCCCTCCTTGATTCAGAGATAGCCTTTCCCTTTTCACGTAAATGGCCTCCTTGACTCCGCACTCAAACCAGGGTTCCTCCCTGTCCAAGATGTGTACATCCTCATCCTTGAAAGAGTGTCCACTGGCCTGTAGGTGTAAATAGACTGCAGAGTCCTGGCCTGACGAGGTAGCTCTTCTGTGTTGTGCCATCCACTTCACCAAAGGTTGTTTGGTTTCCTCGATGTATAAGTCCTGGCAATCCTCCTGGCACTTGACAACATACACTATGTTACTCTGTTTGTGTCGGGGGACCCGATCCTTGGGATGGACCAATTTTTGGTGCAGTGTGTTTTGGGGTTTAAAAGCCACAGAGACCCAGTGTATAGAAAAAATGCGTCTCAACTGCTCCGATAGTCCTGACACATACAGGATGGGTGAAACTGGGGAGCCCATGGTACACCCATGTTTCTGCCTGTAGAACTGACCCTTGTATGTGAAGTAGGTGGAATGAAGACACAGTTCCAAAAGCAAACACACTTGGTCGATGCTGAGAGTGGTCCTGTTGCTGAGGTTGGGGTCATCTTGTAATCTCTTACGGACTACCTCCAACGCTTCCGTGACTGGGATGCAAGTGAAGAGAGATGTAACGTCGTACGAGACCATGGTTTCATCTGCCTCCATAATAACATCTCTCACCTTCTCAACAAAATCCAGGGTGTTCTGGATGTGGTGTTCAGAGCTGCCAACCAGCGGGTTGAGGATCGAAGCCAGAAACTTGGAGCTGTTATAGGTGACCAAGTTGATCATACAGACAATCGGTCTTAAAGGTGCATCCTGTTTATGTATCTTCGGTAAACCATACAGACTTGGTGTAGACTCCCCTGGGTATAGCCTGTGGTATGAGGTCTGGTCAATAGCCTTGTCTTGTTCTAACTGCTTCAGACAGTCTATCACCCTCTTCCTGTGTCTCATTTCAGGGGCTCATAAGTATTTTCATCACTGAGTAGTGACATAATTTTCTCATGATAGTCTTTCTGGTTTAGCAATACTGTGCACCTATCCTTGTCTGCCGGAAGGATGATAATGTTGTTGTCATTACTAAGTGATGTGAGTGCCTTCCGCCGCTACGTCCAGATGAACAGAATCAACTTTTGGAGATTTACTTACCTGGATGATTGAGCATGCATCAAGACGAAACTCAGACTATCAACGCAACAAATGAGTGACTAAAGAAGAAGCACAAAAAGACCTAGGCAGTTTCCAGATCTTAGTCCTAAGAAAATCTAGAGAAGAAAGCTGAAGCTTCAAGTTGCCAAGCAGAAGTCAAGAAACCTAAAGGATTTAGAGCATTCATGTGAAAAGAAGTTGGCCAAAATCCCTCCTGAGATGTGTGCAAACCTGGTGACCAACTGTCTTACTGCTCTACTTGCCACAAAGTACCAAGTCATGTTTTTTGGAATCAAATACTTATTTCACTTCACTTATTTCAATGACATGCAAATCACTTCATAACTTTTATCTAATGCATTTTTATCTGGATTTTTAGTTTATTATGTCTCTCTCCATTAAAATGAAACTACCACAAACATTAGAGACTGTTCATTCATTTTCCCCCTGGACCTGTCAGAGGTGGTGGTCAGAGGGCCCAGTGGCGCCAGTGTCCGACAGCCTCGCCTCTGTCAGTGCGCCCCAGGGTGGCTGTGGCTACAATGTAGCTTGCCATGGTAAATGGCCTGTATTTGTATAGCGCTTTACTAGTGCCAAAGCGCTTTACACATCCAGTCACCCACCCATTCACACACATTCACACACTGGTGATGGCAAGCTACATTGTAGCCACAGCCACCCTGGGGTGCACTGCCATCACCAGTGTGTGAATGTGTGAAGCGCTTTGGGGTCCTTAGGATATACAAATACAGGCCATTTACCATTTACTTGGCAATAATCACTAAAAGACTCACATCTGACGTTGCATATAAGGCTGACCCAAGAATGAGTGGGAGAGGTAAGCTTGAGGTAACTCAAGCAGTAGTTAAGTAGTAGTAGTTAAGAACAGTCTAGGCTACTTCATGTCACAGGTAACAAGAAAGCACATATTTCCTGAAATGTAAAACTCTTCCCTTACAAAATAGGGTAACCAGTAGGTAAGTAATCAGGATAATGAGGTGTATACTTCATGCACGTGAGATGCAGATGCTATGGAAAATAGATTCATTTACATTTTAAACTTGCAGATTTCATATTAAATGAATAAAATGGGTTTCTTTTTTCACTCTAAGCCTACATCTAAGCCGGTATTAACAATGTAAAAGTACATACTTAAAATTCCCACCTGGGTTTACTAAAAATCAGAAACTGAAAGGGAAATTTCTCAGTAGCAACAGTCAGTACTTTGTTTGTTTTTTTGTTGTTTTTTCTTGTTCACTTCCTTTTATGCTCATGTCTGATCATCCACTTCATTCTTTTACATGTCAGGACAAAAATGCTTCTTACCCCAACGACAGAAACTGATACAAATTTGAAGTTTTTTTTGACTTGTAAATGCAATTCTAGCTGCCTGCTAACAAACACCATGGGCACATGATACAGTCAGTACTTTGTTAAAACCCCTACGACAGCAATTACAGCTTCACAGGCTTTTGGCCAGTGTGTATCTGGGATGTGGAAAATCCATGTGGGTTGACTAATAAATGGACCTGCTGAGGACAGTGTCCCCTTCGGTAGTTTCTGTGGCAGAAAGCCTTGTTCAAAGCCACAGTGGCAATGTCATTCGCCACACACAGCTTTACTCACTTCTGTGCAAACATTTAAACCTTTTTCAGTTAATCACATCAGCTAGTCATTTTAGAAATCCTAGAATTTATTAAAAGAATGATTACTACCTTTTGATTACTACATTACCTTCAGTAATAACGAAAATATGTAATATGATGTATAATCTGTGCACAAATGTCTTTTGTGAATAATGTAAACCATCATATATTATTAAGAAAATACTTTGTAAAGCTGGCAAAATTCAATAGATCGTCTATTCTTTTTTGTTTTTTGCTTTAATTCTGTTGGTCACATGCTAATATCCTCATGCTGAGCATGACATTCAGGACTAGGGACAACTGACTCATCTGTTATACATTCTGAGAAGAAGAGATAAGAAAAAAGAGCAGCACCTTAAGGGATCGATAAACTGCACACCAGTATTAGCCATGCATCATTATAAAAATTGATCTTAAAAGTACAGGCCATCAAGTAAAGGTTCGGTGTCCTACTAGAGGACACAGATAAACAAATGAACCTTTGACTTTGTGGTTATTGTCTCTGAACACTTTCAGAATTTTCAGTGGTCATTTTAGAGTCCCTCTCTGATCCTCTGTAGAGCATTACTTGACCTGGCTGTTGGGAGAAAGGACAGACGTAAGCTTAAAATACCTCCCAGGCTTGACACAGCACTGCGCCAGCTGCACTCTGTAATTACCAGCAGTGCAATCAGCAGACTCGTTAATTTCCCCTGACTGACAGACGCTGACGGCTCAATTGCAGAAAATGCACTGGTACAACTTCATAAGAAAATGGAACTGACGTGCTGCAGGACTCTTCAAGCTTCAAGGCTGCACTCAGAAAAGTGCATTTTATGATTATGATAATGACATATGACATTGAAGACATACTGTTATAGGCAAGGTTCTGTTACATCTGGCAGCAAACCTCTTCATTAAAAACAAAGGATTAAAAAGGGAAACTGAATTCCTCTTCGTCTCCTTTTAAAATAGCAGATGTGCTGCTACATGCGCCCTTGCTAAGGACTCATCTTATGTAACATATTTAGGAAACCATGTGAAGTACTGCAGAGAGAGAGAGAGAGAGTGCTAACACATGGAATAGCTTTCTGGTTCTGCAGAAGTATTGATTTGAGCGTAAAAGAATGTGAAGCGGTCCAAAATAGACATTCCACCAGCAAAGTAATTGGGGTGAGGGAGCCAGAAGAATTGGCCCAGATAAATATGTCACTTAATGGGTTGTTTATGGCTGCAATTTGACATGATCCACGAGAGAACAGGCAAGAAGAGGGTCTAGTTTATCCTACAGAGTGACACTGGCGCAATCACTAAAACAGACAGTAACAATAAACATTCAAAAAATAGAATATTTAATCTGCAAACATGTATGCCGGCCTATTTCCAACATTAATTCATCCTTAGACATGTTGGAATTTTAGTGCAGTATCTATTAAATTATTTCTCTATTCCCCCGATTATAATTTAATCATATTCCTGCTGTGCGGTCCAGCCTAATCAGTTATTTTCCCCATCTCCATTCTAACATTATTCCAGACTGCCCTTCTGATTTCTTGCAAGCAGCTATTTGTGTCCCACCAAGATGAAATCCATATGGAAGAGGAACAGAAAAAAAATGTAGATAATAATTTGTTTTAGATATATTGTATGAATCATAATGCTTATACCTGCTGAGCTAATCATGTTTACAGGATTATGTATATGAATCAAGTAAATATATTTCTAAATGAGAAAAAAAGAGGGTCACATGTGTAATGTCTTATGAGGTATAAAATTCATACAGAAGGTAAACAGGGCAGCATGGTGGCATGGTGGTTAGCACCTCACAGCAAGAAGGTCCTGAGTTCAATTCCACCATCAGGCTGGGGTCTTTCTGTGTGGAGTTTGCATGTTATATGAATATGATTCCCACTAAGCCTCTTGTTTTTAATAAACATAAAATATATCAACAGTCAACATGATGGTAGTAGTATAAAGATCCCGACTGCTTTGCTGCTTCAGGACCTGGATGGCTTGCAGTACTTGATGGAAACATGATTGTCGGGTGCCTTAAAGCTCTTTCACAGTTGAGTCATGCAACAGAACAATGATTCGAAACACACCAGCAAGTCCACCTCTGCATGGCTTGAGAAACACAAAATAAAGGTTTTGGAGTGGCCTGGTCAAGGTCCAGATCCAAATCTGATCTTCTGATCTCATACCTTTCATGCTTGTTCATGCTCAAAAACCCTCCAATGTGTCTGAATGAAAACAATCCTGCAAAGATGGGTGGGCCAGAATTCCTCCAGCGTGATGCGAAAGACACATAAGCAGTTATCGTATACAATTGCTCTCAGTTCTAGTTGCCAAGCAAGGCACAACCAGTTATTAGGTGTAGGGGTCAATTACTTTTCAGAATTGGGCCAGACAAGTTTGTTAAGCTTTTTTCATTAATAAATAAATCCATCATTTAAAAGTGCATTTTCTATTTCTCGGGTTGTCCTTGTGTAATATATTTGTGTGACATTCTATCTTTCCCTTTGTCCTATTTCAAGATGTATTTTCTTGTTCCATATGGCTTGTTATCTAGATTCCTATTCTGTTTTTGTTCTTTATGTGGACCTTGTGCCATTTGTTTTGTTTTCAGGTTTAAGACCTTTGATTAGACCTTAGATTATTATTTGAGCATTAGAGATGGATTCAGTTCAGTGATTTGGGAAGAACCGAGTAGAACTGCTAGTCCTCCACATCAAAAAGAGCCAGCAGAGGTGGTTCACGCATCTTCTAGGAACCTCATGGATGACATGTTTGTGGCATATCCTACCAGGACGAGGCTCTGGGGTAGACCCAGTACACCCTGGGGAGATTAGGTCTCTTGGCCTGAGGTCTGGGCTGTGACCTGGCCCCAGACAAATAGTGGAAAATTGATGGATGGATGGATGGATGGCTGGATGGATGGATTGATGGGTGAACATTTCAATCACTTCACCTATGTCCCATTTTCCTAGCAAGATATAAATACATGCACAGTTTTGCACAGTACTGTAAAATGCTGGTCAAAATTCTTTTGTGTTATCTAAGTAAATTAATCATTTCATAAACTCCTCAGCCAAATTGGATCAACAATATTACTGAATGCCTTAACAATGACAGAGTCATTCATTTATTTTTAATGCTAAATGTTTGTTAGAGCTGCTTGCTGAATCAAGTAAAGTAAGGCACTCCAATCAATGTGACTTCCTTTCACTTTCATATCTCATTGAAGAAACGTAACTTTTTTTTTCGTATGCACGATCACACCTTCTATCTCCAACAATTTTCATGGACTTTTTTGGAGGCAATCAACAGTCAGTCACAAGAAATGAGTGTAAACTTGCTAATTAGCAAGGAAATACCAATCGCTTACTCTGCATTGTGTGAAAAATCGTACTAATAATGATGATATACTTTTTCTGTCTTTGTCTTCTTGCCTGTGAGTTGCCTCTTTTTTTCTGTAACAAGTCGTGTTTATTAAAGTAGACTAAGTTTTTCGCCTTAAGGATTCATTATGGAGTAAATGTTTGCACAATTAAATGGCTGGAAAATAACGACACCATTGCTGCTTTTTGATGGGTTTCCTTAAAGCATCACTTTCACAGCACAATTCTGACTGCTACAGGCTACAAAAGAATGAAGGCTTGAAACACAAAAGGAAGAAGATAGCATTTTTCCCCCCAGCAGGCATCAGTAGCTTTCCCCAGGCAGCTTAAATGGAATCGAGGCAATGTTGCAAAGTGCACCAAGCAAAAAGAAAGAGAGTCCAATGTTAGACAAGGGTAAGAAGTCAAAGGGTTCAAACAGATGCAGTTGGTAATTTAAAGTCAGCAAATCAGCAAAGCTATTCCTAGAGCAGAAATACAATCTTGTAGTCTAATCTTCAGACTACAAGAAGTCTGAAGATAAAGGTCTGAAGATAAAGGTGGGCAAACAGCAAGCCTGACGTTATTGAGAAGTTATTGAGATATTAATGCAAAAATCATCTGCTAGCAATTCTAAAGGTCTTTCAAAATATAACATAGCACCAGTTCACAAAGATAACAAAGTCAAGCTTAACTGCATGGAACATTAGCTAACTCTGCCCACAGTAGCGGTCAGCATAGTTAAAGTACTTCTACACAACTAATTAGTAAATGAGAATGACAGGTGAGCTGTCCAGGGTGTAACCCGCCTTCTGCCCTATTACAGCTGGATAGGTTCCAGACACCTACAACCCTCACCCGAACAAGCTGCTAACAAAGTGGATCTGTCCACTGTACATATACAAGCCTTGGGATGATGCTGGTATTTCTTTTATGCATTTATTGACTTATCCATGTCACTTGTGTTGTAATTGATGCCTGCTCTGGTTTCTTGCTGCTGCACTTCCCACTATTTGGTGGTGTATGTACTGTTAAGAAGAAGGCAAAGAACTATAGATAACCATCTTTTTATGACTATTTTGGTCCTAATGTAGTTGATGATGTTGTGCAGTGAAAATATTTTCGGCCAGCTGCAGTTATCTTCAGGGTATCACAAGTTCGCCAGCCAAAAGATGGATACTCCAGGGAGTTATCTGGTTGCAGTGTGAGCTGAGCTGTTTGCCAGTTCAAGTTCCATATTTGTACATATTGAGCATGATTTTGGTCTTTTCATTCAGACCTTGGCAAGAAGGCAAATAATTGTACTGTACAAAATACTGAACTATTGATTTAGTAACTTAGTCATGTAAAATAAATAGATAAAATGTGATACACCTCAGACAATACAGGTCTCAGTTAAATTACACACACAGTTAGAAAAAGACTGAATAAGTGTGACTTGTGTGGAAGGGTTGCCAGGAAAACGCCTATAGTTAAAGGCAGTCTTATTCTTTAGGAAGGTAGCTTGATGGATAATGTATATGTGTGATGCATGCCCAATGCTGGAACTGCCCCCTCTGCTCTGCTAGCAGTAGTTAGCAGTATGTATTCTATGTCCTCTGTGAGAGCACACCGATAGAAGTAGCTACACTGTGTTTGCCTCCTCGATAAAGGAATGTGCATCACTTTACTCTGCCAATTTGGATCAGAAGAGAAAAGTAGTTATCAGCTACAAGACAGGCTACAGTAAAGACATTAAACATTTACCAGAGGTCTCTTTACTATGTCTAGTCGCCACAAATCTGTTCATTTTGAAAAAGAACATGACAGCATGGGTTAGGTTTACTTAGCATAATCTAAACAAAACAGAAAACCTCAGCTAAAGCTCGATTCAAACTACAAGAAGACAATAACCCTAAGCATATTTAAAGCACAAAAAAGAAAAAGATTTAAGGAATTGCAATGGCCCAAAGTCCAGACCTCAACCCTGCTGAAATGCTGTGGCGGGAAAACCAGCAAACCTCAATGAACTGTAGCCCCACCGTAAAGGAGAGCATGCCATATTATATTTGAAAGACTGACAAAGTCATCCAGAAAATGATTACTTTTAGTTATTTCTGTTAAAGGTGATTCTACAAGCTACCGAGTCGTGTGGTGTAATTACTTTTTCCCGGGACCGCATAAAGTCCTCTAAAAACCTTTCATTTTGACATCACTGTGCATGTATCCAAAATGTTGTTGTTCTGAACAGCCATGTCAGTGACCAGTGTTGTATGATGATTCTCAACCTCTCGATCTTTAAACTGTTCCTTCTGTGTATGTGTGTGAATACTATGACAAACATTTACATGGAAATGAACACAGCAAATGATGAACCAGCCACAGGATTGCATTCATCACTGCAAGCTGCAGAGGTGACATTTAGACTATGACAGGAAATGTGATGAGTTATCAATCTTGCATACATATACACACACGCTCACACGTGCTATGAATAACTGTGATGTACCCAGCTGTCAGCCATATTTGACACAGGCAACACATTGGTGTGCATCCCAAGGAAAACTGGTTCACCTTGAATAAATCAGCGCGGCACTGTTCTTCATCTATTCCACACGCATCTACTTTGTTCCAGAGATGGTCATCAGTAACACAGATACTAATAAAATGAATAGTTCTCAGAACCACTAGCCTTTAAATCTAATACAAAAAATAAGAAAGCACATTACATAAGATTGATCGCCAGATACGTGAAAAATGCAAACAGCACTGTCTGCTAGTTTTATCATTTTGTAAATTACAGTGAGGTTTCTTATTTTCAGATGTTGAGTAATAAATAACAATGATTACTAGCCAGCAATATTTTCTGTGTATATTGTATTTTTCAGCTGTAACATCTCTTACTATTAGGCTTAAGACATACATCCCTGCCCTCTGCTATAGCCTTCTGAGACCAGTTCCGATTCTGCTCATTTCCTTAAGAAACTGTGGGAAAAATACTGAGAAACAACCACTGTTATGAAAACCATTGAATAGGCCAAGTCTTTTGATGATCTACAGTAATATGTAATTGCTTACTTGTGCTTACTTTGATTGTATTTTAATAATCTAAACACTAGACCAGGAACTACCGGTAAGTGAAATTTCAACTGTGGTATAAAGAGATGGTACATTTTGAAGTCAGAATAAAAGAAATCTACTGGGAGGAGACCTTGGGGCAGACTGTCATGATTTACTGAGTTTAATGGACTCAAACCGGACCGAGAGGCGAGCAAAGGTTAAGGATGTTTATTGCAAACAAGTTGAGATTAAAAAAAATAAACTTTTCTTGGTGATACTACTCAGAATGTATGTGAGAGTGTGTGGGTGTGCAGTGGAGAGTGAGCAGGCAGGTAAGTATCTGTGGGAATCAGTCTCTGTCCTTTAGAAGGAAATCCAAAAACAGAATCCAAAATTCAAAGCACAAGTCCTGTCCAGGTGGGCAGGTCCAAAGCAATAGAAGAGATGAGAAATCAAGGCAAGTACCCTATCAAGCACAAAGTAATAGTTCATTTCCTAAATCCAAGCCTGACAACAACGTAGCTCTATCATCTGGCAGTGAATGAGTGGAATAATCAGTCCATAAATTCACACAGCACTTGACAAGAAGCAAGGAAACAGGTGTGCAGCTGAAGGCCCAGCCCAAGGCTGATCAGGGGAACGACCTCCAGGGATTCATCTGGCTGAGAAAAATAGAAGAGAGCCAGAGTCAGAAAAAGGGTTAGGAAAAAGGAAGAAAGAAAAGCGTAGCAGGGCAGATAGTACCAGGACCATGATACTGACCTGTGACATGCTGAAGAGATGTCTTTCAACTGGCTTGGGGACACTTCAGCATCCCCTGGAAGAGCTGGAGGAGCTGTCTTGGTAGAGAGAGGACTGGGCGTTTGTATTTAGACAGCAATTTAGGGCCAGATGTACGTGCAATCCCCAGATAGCACTCATAGATGTGATTAGTTTTACAACTGAGTTACAAAGGTTGCGCTGGTCATGTTCATGTCTGTTTCGTCACGCCACTTGGTTCAGTTTCCATGCATCTGCACAGCATTCTGTTCACAGTGATCATAGTTATTCCTTTCAGTAAGGTTAGTGTTTTTCCAGTTTAGGTTTTTGGTTAGTTGCAGTCTCTGTCCCTGTTGTGTTTTGTCTACTCCCTTCTGCATCAGCCCAAATAAAGGCTCGCTTTCAGTTTAAGTTCACTCCCGTCTCCTCGCCTGTGTTCGCGCCTGGGTCCACCATGCACACTCTCCACACAGTCTCCCCCGCTGGCCGTGACAGACCTAGAGCTAAGTGTTATTGAAGCAGTCTGGCATCACCTTCACAAACGACAAAATGCAGTAACTTTGAAAGAGCTTTGAAATGTTTTTCTAGAAACCTGGAGACCTACTCTTAAGTTTATTTAGAAATTATAAATTACATTAAAACTTAAAGAAGAGAGTTCAAATTTTATTGATGAATCAGCCACAGCAGTCACTCACCATTTCTTTCCTATGTACCTGTGGTGCTGTGAAAAATATATGCTCCCTTCCTCATTTCTTTCTTTTTTTTTTTTTCAGATTTGTCATACATGTTTCACATCATCAAACAAATATATTAGTAGAAAAAGATAACCTGACTCAATAAAAAAAATGCAAAACAGCAGCCCCAGACCATCACACTGCCACCACTATGTTTGACTCTTGGTATGATCTTCCTTTTATGAAATGATCTAACAAAAAAAATGGAGACAATTACTTTTTCACACAGAGCCAGGCAAATTTAAAAACTGCATTTTGCAGTTATTCGGGATATCTTTGTTTAATATTGGTCCAACTGTGACACATTTACATATATGAGAAGAGGCAGATTGCTTTTAAAAGCATTTTAAGTTACTTTTCCCTGGTTGAGGGCATTGCTTTGTTCCCTTTTTCATTCAGAGCTCGTTTGGCACCTAATACTTTACTTTCATTCGCTTAACAGTGACAGATTCAAGTTAAATATGATCCAAATACAACAGAATTTCTTACAACATTTTTCTTTTTGAGTTTTTAATGTGCTTTTGGCAGTTCTCCAATATCACTCGAGAAGGAAAATAACTGCGTATTACGTGATAGCATTACTCTAAAGATGTCTTAATATTCACTGAGATGAATTATCTCCAGCTAGTTTGGAGTAACTGCTAAAACAAAGCAACAATGCTAGGATGAATTGATTATCCTTTCAAGCATTATACAACTGTCAGCGTAACACTGAGATGCGTGATTGCCAAACATCCACCCTCAGACTCCCTCTCAGCCTCCAATATGAATAGATAATTACACTGCGTCATTCTTCGTTTTTGCAGGTCTGCGATTTGTTTCAGCTCATCCCACGTCCCTAGCAGTGCATGAGTCATTTTGGTTCAACACTATGTTATGCAGAACCAAGCTGCCCTTTCTTTCTTTTTTGGGTGTTGATTCGAGCCCTCTTACACATTTCAACATGTCGAACACTACCACAAAAGACACAGGAAAATCCATTTGTCATGTCCCTCACAGTACAATTCATTATGGATGATGCACTGAACCACTTCAGAAGCTTTAAAGGGTCAGCTTTTCAGTGTTTTCTGAGAAAACCCATTTCAGAACATAATTAATTATCAGGGTGAGATGTTTTTGTGCTGTTTGGTAAAGGTGGAACTCCGTCTTCATTGTTGTGGAAAGTAATTGAGAATGGATGACGCTTTGCTAAACCCAAGGACTCTAAAAGCTGTCCTTTTCAGCACAGCGGTCAAAGTAAAAACACAAGACATAACTGAGGTGATCAGTTAAACTGGAACATGACAAAGAAGAAATACTGGCAGAGCGAAAATTATTGATTAAATAATGTTGAAAGAAAACATAAATATGCAACATTACAGATTTATTACAGATGTTAATGAAAGGCCGTATAAAGATTTAAAATATGTCATATGTGACCATTTGACCTCTCCTTCGAGATTAATAGATTGATTTTAAGATATAAAGAATTTAAAACTATGTTTCTTACTGCCATTGGCAACATATAATCATATGGAATGATACAATGAATATTTGGATTTTAAATATCACATTACTTTTGACCTCTTTTTCAAATAAGGTCAAACTTTCATAAAGTGTCTTTTATCATCTTTAACTATGATTAGAATTCAACTGCCTTCGCTTGTATTGGCAACATTTAGGAAATGATGCTGGTATATAAGGATTATAATATCTATTATTCGTTACCTTCTCATACATATTATCGAATTTCTACTGCTTTTTTTAAAGGGCACACTGCACACCATGCTGGAATATCAATTCAATTCAGTTCAATTCAATTTTATTTATATAGTGCCAAACAAAGATGGGCAGTAACGCGTTACTAGTAATGCGTTACTGTAATCTGATTACTTTTTTCAAGTAACGAGTAAAGTAAGGGATTACTATTGCAAAAACGGTAATTAGATTACCATTACTTTCCCGTAGGAACGCTGCGTTACTGCGTTACTAAAACCGTGATTTTTTTGCGAGAATGTCTCATGACAGTGACGTAAGCGAGTGCACGTTGTGACAACAGCTGTGTGCAGATCAACAATGGATCACATATCGATGTGGGAGAGAGTATGAGCGTGCAGCATTTAAAGCGTGGAAGTACTGACCTTACTTTGAGTTTGATTCCATAAAAAGTGACAAAAACATTAGCGTCCATTGTGCGTGGGAAGAAAACTTCTTTTTACAGCGAAAAAAACCCCTAAACTTCCAAGCAAGCACCGAGTGCGCCATGACGTAATGGGAAACTCACAGAGAAATCGCGGATTCTTCAACTGACCGCGGCACACCTGCACCAGGGTAAACCTCCGCCTACCGCAGTCCTGCTTTACAGGTGAAAATAGAGCAACAGGACCGCTGAGTCTTTGACTTTATTTATTTTCTGCTGTGTTTTACTTGCATCTATTTGAAAGAGTGAGTGTAAACACAAAAAATATTTTATTTTATGTGCTGGAATGTGCAGAAAATAGGTTTAAATGTTAAACTAATTTATTCAAGTCAGAGAATGTTGCATATAATTAAATTTTTGCTTGATGCATAAAGTTAAAAGATTAAAACTAGATAAAACAAGTTTAAAAAAGAGACTTTTCCATTTGATTACATTTTGTATGATGGATTATGTAGAAAAAGTAGAATTGGGCTGAAAGATCTATCGCTTTATCACCTCTTCAGGTTGTAAATCGTGTTTTTAAAAAGTAACTAAGTAACTAAGTAATTAATTACTTTTGAAAATAAGTAATCAGTAAAGTAACGGGATTACTTTTTTGGGGAAGTAATCAGTAATTAGTTACTGATTACTTTTTTCAAGTAACTTGACCAACACTGTGCCAAATCACAACAACAGTCGACCTCAAGGTGCTTTATATTGTACAGTAGACTACAATAATACATACAGAGAAAAACCCAACAATCATATGACCCCCTATGAGCAAGCACTTTGGCGACAGTGGGAAGGAAAAACTCCCTTTTAACAGGAAGAAACCTCCGGCAGAACCAGGCTCAGGGAGGGGCGGGGCCATCTGCTGCGACCGGTTGGGGTGAGAGAAGGAAAACAGGATAAAAGACATGCTGTGGAAGAGAGACAGAGATTAATAACAGATATGATTCAATGCAGAGAGGTCTATTAACACATAGTGAGTGAGAAAGGTGACTGGAAAGGAAAAACTCAATGCATCATGGGAATCCCCCGGCAGCCTACGTCTATTGCAGCATAACTAAGGGAGGATTCAGGGTCACCTGGTCCAGCCCTAACTATATGCTTTAGCAAAAAGGAAAGTTTTAAGCCTAATCTTAAAAGTAGAGATAGTGTCTGTCTCCCGAATCCAAACTGGAAGCTGGTTCCACAGAAGAGGGGCCTGAAAACTGAAGGCTCTCCCTCCCATTCTACTTTTAAATACTCTAAGAATATGCATGAGGTTTTTTTTTAGCTAATAGCTTCTTGGAAATCACCTTGTAGGTGCAAAAATATAATTTTATGTCTTTTGAACTGTGCTAGCTTTGGCATTTTTAGTAGATTTGACTAAAGAAATTGGAATAAACTGTGCTTTTGTGAAAGCTTGCTAATAACAAAGTCTGTAAAGATACACACAAGCTTAGCTTGTAAAAGCAGCACTGAGCGAGAGCTGCTTATATGTCAATTTTTGAAAAATTCAAACAAAATTCTAGAGGGACTAATTTCTAATATTTGTAACCTGTGTTAACTAGCTTTTCTCTCCTAAGAATAAACTCGTAGTCAAGCAGGCATAAACTGCTTGTTGTGATTATTATCGTGATTATTCCCACAACATTAAATATTGCTGTTTTGTCAGAGATAATTGAACTGCTGCTGTGCTGGGCTCACCTAAAACCATGGCCTTGTTTTCTTTCCTAAAAGAGAACACTTGATCCAGTTTCCACTAATGCATCTAGAGTCCCGTGTCCTGCTGTCCTACAAACCTTCAGTTTTGCCATCAGTTGATTTCTGACACTTTCCTGCCTTTTTTTTCTTGCATCAGGAGTTTTTATTATGTGAAGTAGAGGCGCGACCACATTTTAAACAAGTGAACAATAGCTGCAAGTTCATCTCCTTTAAAAACCTCTGAGTTGTTCAAATCCATCATATTTTTGAGGGTTGTCGTTTCTAAATCCGTGAACTTTCAGATAGTTTACAAGTTTCAATGAAAATAATACAATAAAGCCTGAACACTATAAACTGCAGTGAGCCTGATTTCTTGTGTTATAGCAGACGTGTCCACAGAGCTAGAATGTCTCGCCATAAACAAAACAGACAAAGGGGTTATAAATAAGTAGCCTAAATGTTATAAATATAAAATATCAAAGTGTATTAGAAAATAAAA